TGAGATAATACAATATGGTAAGTAATATGGTTTTTAAATAATATATGTTTTATAATATAGTCTTAAAAAATACATTCATTGGGATTGAGAACCACAGTCTAAAATATTCGAACTAGGAATACAAAGCAAGGATAGGATTTCCTTACTTTTACAATACCATCTATCTCTTACTATGGATATGGGATTAAGTCCTTGGTATGGATAAGTCTATCACATCTTTGAACCACTACTATCGCTACTCCATCTGCGCCAGTGTGTATATAGCATAGCGTGGCCAGTGTAATCAACTTGCCTTTGCTAGATTAGGTACTGTTTTCATGACGTTAGCATAAAAATTTGGCATAGAGTACCTAGCCTTAAATCTTACACTAATTACAAATTACGTTGATTTATTTTCTGGTAAAATCATATAATAAAGCAAAAAAATATGCTAACAGGAAATCGTTATTTATAAAAATAATATTAGGTGAATCTAGTGAACGTCGAAGAACGTACAAGCATTTATACTCTACTCTTCTACTGTAGGTAAAGTATAAGTGGCTATACTTTATAAGCATTTGTTACATTAGTTATATTTAGCAGTATTATTTAGAATACTGCTAAATATAACTAGTAATCCAGTACTTTTTGAGATGTCATTTAGCGTGACTTTTGCGTATCGAGTTCGAAACATTGAGCGAAGCCATTATTGCAAATCCTTCCATTGATAATACAAAAAGAACTCGCCCTCTAGACCCCGGCGAATCTGTTGCTGCCGGGAATGTAATAAAAGTCGTGAAGATCCATGGGAGAGGCCTATGCCCGGCAGAAATAAAATTAACTTCAATAGACCATGACAATGTAACGCCACTGTATAAATTAAGGTAGTGGGTAGCTACTCACAAAAACTGTGGCCCTGCGCTTGATCGCACTCGCTCTTAGAATCTTAGCAATTAGCAAGTGCGATTTTAGCTAAACTGTTTGTAACAGTTGCATTAAATTGCATTATGATGATTTACTCGTATATAGTTATAATAAATTTATAGGCAGCACCGAGGGCTCCGCGGCCCGTTTTCAAGGTAGTAGCGAATAGTGAACAGGAAGAAATGGCGTATGATTACTTATCAAAACGCACTAATGTCAAACATACAAGGTACGTATCTATCTTTTACAATAAAAATACTGCTACTAAAAAGCAACGAGTAGCTCGGTGGCGTAGTGGATAAGCGCCGGCCCGCGGTCGTTGTCGTTAAGCAACTTTCGCAAGGGTCGGTCACGGGATGGGTGACCAAAAAATTATTATCTCGAGCTACTCCGTGCTTCGGAAGGCACGTTAAGCCGTTGGTTCCGGATGCATTTGCAGTCGTTAATACCCTCCAATCCGCATTGGGCCAGCGTGGAGGGTCATGGTCCAGCCTCCTTAACCATCCATAAGGAAGGCCTGAGCCCCTGCAGTGGGGACGTAAAAGGGCTGATGATGATGATGATGAAAAAGTAACGAAAGTTCATTATTATGCAGCCAGTTCCACAAGGGTTCATTAAAATTTCATTAGTTTATAGCGTCATTACCGATACAAATTTGACATTAATTAGAACTTAAAGGCTTCATTAAACCTTAATTGACGTTTGTGCAACTAACCGTTGGAAAGCCGAGACAAATAAAATGCCGATAATATGCGAGTAGATATACAATCATTAGATTTAGCAGACAAGACTGTAATTTACAAAATGACGATTAGCGATTTGAATACGATTAATTAATAAGTATTATCCTCCTTAATCATCCTGCAGTGGGGACGTAAAAGGGCTGATGATGATGATGAATGAAATGATAATGAAATTATTTTCGGTAATTTACAAATTACAATGATGCTGGCTGGCGCAACAGTGAGCTAGAAAAGAGAGAACAATGCGAGGAATGAATCGATTCATGGAAATTAGTACATTACTGATTCAGAAACCAAAATCTATACTAATAATAACGCTGAAGAGTTTTTGTTTGTTTGTTTGATTGAACTCTTAAAATATCAGGAACTACTGAAACGAATTGAATTATTGTTTTTGTGTTGAATAGTTCACTTATCGAGGAAGGCTATAGAATATATAACATCAGGCTATGACTTATAGGGATGGAGCAGCAATGAAACATATTACTAAAACAGGAAAATATTTTACTTTTTTAAAGCTTTCCATGCGTGCGCTGCGTAAACGGTGAAAGTTACGCAAAAATCATTTATTACGAAATTGATCTTCTTGAAAAGTTAACAAAAAGTCCGCGGCAGCATATGTCTATCTTATCCAAAAAAAGCACATAAAAGAATGAAAGTAAACTAAATAAAATAAAAATCGTAACCACAGTAACCATTGTTTACAATTCAATTTGTTATTTTAATTATATTCCATACCATCCTTTTCCAAATCTATTATTAAATTATTTAAGCTGTTTACGCAGGATTAAAGCTGTTTACGCAGGATTAAATGTTTTTAATATTTTTTTATCGGTTTATATTAACGACAAGATTTTCTTTGTCGTTAATATTAAATGCATATGTCATACTGGTTAAGTACCCGAAAATGTTACATTAATCTGCCTCTACTGAGCACTAGATGACGTCATTGTACTTTTAAAACGAGATTATGATTTTTGTTACGTTTGTAGTCTTTATTTTTTTCAGATTTTTATCAAACAAAGTAGTTTTCGTTTTTAATTTTGCGGTATTTCCAATAACATAATTTGATAGGGAATTGTTAATTTGGCGTAATGATAAAATGCTACAATTAGCCGTTTTCGCTAGAAGACGCTGCTGTGTTTTTAAAACTGGTGTGTTTGTTTGACTTCGACTTGTATGTAACAAAATAGATATTTGTAATTTTAAACACAAGATTTCCTTTATTAAATTATCCATTTATTAGAACCTACTATTATAAGAGAAATTAATATGTGATGACAATAAAGATATTTATTAAATAACATCCCGATAAACTAAAATTGTTGCTCTGAAAATTATATAAATCACATTTAAAAACATGGTTAGTTAATAATTTTTCTATTCGGTAAATGAGTATATAAATCAAATATATTATTTGGAACACTTCAATTGAATGACATATAAGAGTTAATAACTATGTAATAATAACCTACAAATAGTTTAAGTTATTGCATGCTGTTTGACAGTAGAATATGAGATACTTATATTGTTTTCTTTAATTTAATAGTTGGTTTTGAGTACTATTGTATCCATAATCTTTGGGTTATGTTTATGAAAAGAATTATACGTTTTTACGCTTTCCAAACCTATTTTAATATTTAACTTTGCTTAGGTTAACAAGTCAAATATTGTAAAAACTATAGAAGTTTTTATTATTTGGGACTACTAAAGTAGTTGGACATTAATTAATATCTTGTGCTTAAACAACGTGAAATACTGCAAATAGCTTTTTTTAATGAATACATGTGTTATACTAAAAACCGGCCAGTGCGAGTCAACTCGTGCACAAAGGGTTCTGTACTGAAAACGAAAAAAAATTACACGTTTGTTGTATGGGAGACCCTTTAAATATTTATTTTATTCTATTGATATTGAAGCGGCAGCAGAAATACATCTTCTGTGAAAAATTCAACTGATTAACTTTCACGGTTCATGAGATATAGCCTATTGACAGACAGACAGAGAAGTCTTAGTAATAAGGTTGACGTTTTACCCTTTGGGTACGGAAGCCTAAAAATTGAACTCGCTTTACTGGCCTTCGTATGAGGGTTCAGTTTGCGCCCAACAATGTTATTGTATCCGCGACATTCACTGGCGCGTGCAAACGACGCCTGAATTTGTAGATCTTTCCAATTGAATGGTGTACTCGTACCTATGAATTCTCATAGCTTATGTTAATCTTTTTACAGTGTAATCGGGTCCGTAGCTCATATCATCAAAGGAGCATTGGGAGGTGGAATTCTGGGTGGTCACGTTGCATACATGAAAGGTGGTGCGTTTGTCGGTCTGTTCCTTAATTTGGTGTTTGGAATATATATGGGTTACTGTCTTCACGTTAGTATTATTTGCTGTTTTATTTCTATAATTAGGAATGTTCTATGATTTTATCATGTTTTGACACGTGTTCTTAATTACTTTAGAAATAAATATGTCATTATCTCCTATTTCTATTTTCAACGCCATTGAAAAACTAATACCAGTTTGAAAAAGTAAACTTAAGGAATAATAAAGCTTAATCCACAGACAGACCATGAAGTAGTCCTTCAAGGCGGAGCAAACATGTCATTAGACCCATTGTCTATACATATTTTGGATAATTCATAAGGCAACAATAAATGAATTATATCTATATGAAAGTAGCTCGGTGGCATAGAGGATAAGCACCGCAGTCCGCGATCGCTGTTGTTAAGCAATTTTAACAAGGGTCGGTCACGGGATGGGTGACCAAAAAATTATTTTAGTCAATTTAAAAAATTATTAAAATTATTTGCAGTCGTTAATACCCTCCAATCTGCATTGGGCCAGCGTGGAGGGTGATAGCCCATCCTCCTTAACCATCAATAAGGAAGGCCTGAGCCCCTACAGCGGGGACGTAAAACGGCTGATGATGAATGAACATAATTCATATATGAAATTTTTGAACTCAATGGTTTGACTTCTTTAAATCGGTCTTTCTGAGAAGTCGTTATTAAATTGTAGAGCTGACTAATTGTAGAGTGGAGACACATATTGGTAAACAAATGTAGAATAAGCGATTTTGTTATCTCTAAGAAACCATAACATAACTCACAGTGGTAAATGTTGAGATGACGGCAGATCTATTAGTTTAGACGAGATTTCATCAAGCCCAAGTGAAGGTATGGATAGGATGGGCGAATGGTAATGCTGAAAGTATTCGGATGACTCATCATTGTCTTAAAAGTATTTTAAGGTAATTATTTTGCTTGTTTTAGTCAACGTTGTTACTTAATATCATTTCAGCTATTAGTGCAATCGGCACAAATACTCTATAGAAGAACTCACACACCGAGCATGTCATATCCGGACCTTGGCGAAGCATCTGTTGCCTGTTTTCCAAACTCAAAAGTGACAAAACTTGCGAGACCTTTCCGGTGAGTGGAAAAATGGGGCTGGTCTGTATTTATATTTGAGGTTAGGGCTAGTCTGCCTTCCTTTTATGCTATTTTTTTATATATGTTGTCATACAGCCGGGTCGGATGGGTAGTTGATACAACTGAATCATTATTTGGCTTAACTATGGATTATGAGTGCAAGTTGACTTGAAGTGTGCCAGTATAAGAATAAACAAAGGCATATTGCTCTAATTTGAGTGTATCAAAAGAATACGAAGCGATTAAAGAATGATGAAACTGATATGTTAAACGCCAAGCATGTGTGCACAGAGCTATAAATGTCAAAGAAAAGTAGCGTAGGTATGTGGGAACAGTGAATTGTGTTACTTCTGTTTTCTGCCAACTCTACGAGGGATCTGGCATGAAAATAGGTAAATAGATAGATATAGAACAATTTTTCTCCCAATATTGTAACCTGCCACTTTTCAAATGTTTGAGAAATGATCTATTAATGATAATTTTTGCTTTTATCAGATACATAATAGATTTTGTGATCTGCCTGGACTTGTTCGGATCTTGTGCATGCTACCAGCTTATAATAGCGAAGTCAATCAAACAGCTTGTGGAAGATGTTCAAACAACACCTCTAGAAGGTCTTAACGGTGAGTCAGTGTGTGCCATACCGTTTAGAGCCCAGAAACATATTATGATTTGGCTGAATAATGTTTAATATTTTCCTTTTTGAAGATTACTGGTTTTGTTATTACATTAAATAGTGATTAACAACCATCCCACCCTCATTTCACACTGATATGGCCGAAGGCCGAAGTAACATTGCGGCAGGAAGAAGCAGATTGAAACCGAGTATAGCAACCTACTCCAGCCTACGTGCCGCGGCCCTCGACCTTTGTTATTTAGCATCTTTCGCAAGGGTTGGTCACGGGATAAGTGACCAAACAATTATTACCTCGAGCTATTCTGTGTTTCGGTAGGCACGTTAAACCTTAAACCCGGCTGCATTTGCAATAATTAATACCTTCCAATTCGCATTTGGCCAGCATGGAGGGTCATGGCCCATCCTCCTTAACCATTCATATGGAAAGATTAGTCCCTGCTGTGGGGACGTAAAAGCTCTGATGATGCGAACAGCCTACTCCTCCTCCACAAAGTTCCTATCGTGATACTGTCAATTGATGATTTGACAATTTGACAAAAAATCTCTAAAACACAAGTCAATTAATCAACGCAGCGCTCTCTCTGCTCTGCTTGATAAAAATAGTATTAATCCCTCCAAATAAGACTGGAGGGGCTGCAAACAAAGGCTATATTTTATCCCGATTAACAGCAAATAAAGTGATTAAAATGGTAGTGGAAGTTTATTTAGTGAATTAAAACGTTACCATAGTTACCATTGTGTACTATTTAATTTTTCATTGTAATTATATCCGTGTCATAATATAAATCGATATCCAAATAAACAGTACCCTAGGGACTACGCGAGCGAAAAACTAGTATTATTAAAAAAATATAATCAATTACCTATGTGTTTTTCTTCCAGGTAACCCTCATCTGCGTGTTTATTTGGCTGCTATGTTAATACCGGTAGTGTTGATTTGCCTGATCACCCACTTGAAATGGCTCGCACCTTTTTCAATTGCTGCTAATTTTGTAATTTGTGAGTTTTTGTCATTTTTGAAATGACTCAAGTATTATTATTCCAGGGTAAATGGTAACAATGAACGAGAGGAGGGTTGATGCCTGTGTAAAAAGAAAAGAAATCATATTTAGTTAATGTTAGAAATATATTAGATACGTGTTTTTTTCTTTCAATGTAACAAGAAATGGCTTAGATAATAGGCATTAAAGTTGAGGAGTGGGGACTCGCTACGTCACAGTTTTGTAGAAAATGTACCAAAGCGTGACGTCATGTAACATTTTAACTCAATGTATCAATAGAAAAAGAGTCCTTGGCATCCGATTGTTGGAATATTGGGACCGAGTATCATTGTGGTATGTCAGGTGGCCATTAATTGAGACAATAGTAACGCAAATATTATTAAATTATTTGAATAGTTGTGTGCATCAAACTTAAAACACTTATCAAAACCACCTTGAAATTATAATATTCTTCACGCTATATCCCTAGCGGGATCTCTGCCAATTTTTTAAATGTATAATAATAGATTTTGGGAGCTCGAATTCTCCTCTCGTCATGGGGGCCCTGGCTGGGGACCCGTGGTAGTTTGCCGACTTACCACCCTATAGTTGCGCCACTGATTCCTCCCATCTCTACATACTTACGTCTTCAAAATCATGACTTTTTTCAAACATGCTCGCAGATTTTATAGCTCCTGACACTATATTTCGACGACGCGTTAATATTTTGTGTGTCCTTAATAATATCTATCTATCTATGTCTTCACGCCGTATCCCTGGTGTGGTAGACAGGACCAAACGCCGCAATGCATGGTCCTTACATAAATCTTTCGCCTCGTCCATTTTCATTGCTCTTTTCATACACACTCGCCACCTTCTAAGAGCCATAAGAGAAAACGGTGTGTCGTGATTTTTACACCGAAACTATCTTTGAAGACAACTCTCTTCATTCCGAATGCGGTCTGCTAGCGTTACCTCGCAAATTCTACACAATGAATCACTGCGTTTAATCTACTTACATAACTTACCTTAATAATATGTGTGTTAATAAATGTGTTATTATTTTCTTCCAGTGATAGCAATGTTTACGGCAATATACTACGCTACGCAAAACAACCCAGGCTTTGAAAACTTGAAACCGTATAATGGATATTACGAAACATTAGAGTTTGCTGGCATGATAGTATTTAGTATGTCGTGTGCGGGTATAGTGATACCGATTGAGAACAACATGGCGGAACCACATAAATTCCCTCTGGCTTTATTCTTTGGTAGGATTGACATCATGGATAAGTAATGTGTATATCGCCTTGTTATGTGCGTTTATGTCTTCGAGTGTCACTTCATTCGAAGATATAAACAAACTTGTAGTCCTTTTATCATACAGGCAAAACTATGCACATTTCAGAGAAGGTACTTTGATGTATTTTTATTATGACTTACCCACTACAACCCATATGGCCAGCGCCAAACGGACAAGCCACATTCTTTAGAGATAAGATCATCACCAGCCCTTTTACATCCCCACTGCAGGGGCTCAGCCCTTCCTTATGGATGGTTAAGGAGAATGGGCCATGACCCTCCACGCTGGCCCAATGCGGATTGGAGAGTATTAACGACTGCAAATGCAGCCGGGACCAACGGCTTAACGTGCCTTCCGAAGCACGGAGTAGCTCGAGATAATATTTTTTTGGTCACCCATCCCGTGACCGACCCTTGCGAAAGTTGCTTAACGACTACAATCGTGGGCCGCGGCGCTTATCCACTACGCCACCGAGCTAGAGATAAGATGTGATAAAATTTCTACTCGGTTTCGGGAGAGTGGGAGCTTATATCTTCAAATGAGAAGGGACTTCATATAAAAGTGATCGAATTTCACTTCAAAGTTCGTTTGATCATCTATTATATTTCATTCATTCCTATGCACTTAATTCCAATTCCTATGTTCGGACATGTTCATTGTTCAGAGTATGAAATTTTGTCACTGAATCAAGAATGATGTAGGTACCTATTCATCATCATCATCATCAGCCCTTTTATGTCCCCACTACAGGGGCTCAGGCCTTCCTTATGTCAAATGTAATGCATTAGTTATAATGCTTATATTACCCTCGCGTTGATTATTTTTCAACTTAGGAGATGTAAAAATCATCCCCTTAGTCTTAGTTTCGATCACGAGGCAAATTATGGATGTCAGTGTGTCTTTAACCCATGCATTACGTCACTTGATTATTTCATATCACATGGAGTATCTCGGTGGCGTAATGGATAAGCGCCGCGGCCCGCGATCGTTGTCGTTAAGCAACTTTCGCAAGGGTCGGTCACGGGATAGGTGACCAAAAAAAATATATCATCTCGAGCTACTCCGTGCTTCGGAAGGCACTTTAAGCCGTTGGTCCCAGCTGCATTTGCAGTCGTTAAAACCCTCCAATCCGCATTGGGCCAGCGTGGAGGGTCATGGCCTGTCCTCCTTAACCATCCATAAGGAAGGCCTAAGCCCCTGCATAGGGGACATAAAAGGGCTTGTGATGGTGATGATCACATGGAGATATATTTAGCTTACCTTGATATCCTTCACAATTTGACGAAAACAAAGATGAATACATAATCACGCGGCGTTTATTTTTAGACTTATTTTGAAATATTTTAATTTTATTTTGATAATATTCTATTTTATCGCCCTTACGTTTAAGCTTATTGACAATTTAAAATATAATGAACTGCTATTTTTAGATGAAAATTCTTAGCAATATTATTAGTAGGTGCTAGTGCCGCGCACGAAAAGAATGACGCTTGACTGCTTGGCGCCGGCTATGTGGGTTGTAGTGGGTAAGCCAAAATAAAAATACATCAAATTACCTTCTCTGAAATGTGAGTAGTGTTGCCTGTATGATAAAAGGATCAAATGAAATATAAATAATTTTCCCTCATCTCTGAGGTGTTCAGAAGAGTTTTATTTATATATGTACTTAATTTGATAAATATGGTTTATGCTCGGCCCGTCGCAATCGTTGTTGTTAAGCAACTTTCGCAAGGGCCAGTCACGGGATGGGTGACCCAAAAAATATTATTTAGAAGACACTTATTGGTCCCGGCTACATTTGCAGTTGTAAAAAACCCTCCAATCCATATTGGACTAGTGTGGAGGATTATGACCAAACTTTCTTAACCATTCATAAGGAAGGCCTGAGCCTCTACAGCAGGGTCGTAAAAGGCCTGATTATGTACCCTATATTTATCGAGCCCTCCTATATTGCGGCGCAGTTGCAAGCGTCATAATCACGGTAACACCAAGGCTCTTGCAACTTAAATATGATTTAAATTTACAGGCATGGCGTTAATTGTCTTTGGAACTATGATGGTGTCATTCTTCGGATACGTTGGTTATTTGGAAAAAAGCGAATCTCCTATAACAGTAAATTTCCCGATGACTGTGTAAGTATCCAATATAATTAGAATTATTTTAATTCTTATAAGAATTAAATTATTAACTATTTCATACCTATAGTATAATTAAAATGCCAAAGTGTCGTTACCTCTTGAGGCCCAGTGGAGCGACCGCGTAACTTTCTAACCACGACTAGCCATAGATCACGACGTCTTACCAACGTTATGGTGATATTTCGTTACATTTAGCTAATTTCATAAGCATTAATGCACTTTAAAAACGACGAACAAATGAATAATGGATTTTACAACAGTGTTACGAACTTAGTCATTTATTTAACCACCAAAAAGCAGGTCAAGGTAGTAAAATGAGACGAAGTACCTCCACATCATCGCTAAAATGTCTCTATGCATCTTATGGCTAGAGCCATTGCTGGTGGGTTATGTAGATGACCGCACAGTCGCATCCCAGATCAGATTATCTGAATCTACAAATTTACTTTGGTTAGAGCACTGTCACAGTTTCAAATTTTAGATTACTACTTAAATGCTTAATTTAAGGTAGTTATTTGATTAATGAGTCACATAAGTTGACTACCTCTGCACCTTTTTTATAAAGTGTCGTCAGCAACTGAACGTAGATGTTCAGATAACACTCAACTTATTTTGTTCGTTGAAAAATAACGCTTCAGATATAGCCGGTTATCCTCTCTATAGCACTCGTCCACTAAAAGTCACTCGTAAGGCCTGGAATCAGGGACAGGGACTCTCCAGGTCTCGCGAGATCTAACCCGCATTGTACACCAAATACCTATAATACTCAACTTGCAGGCAAAGAATTTTCAGTACCCAGTATCGCTACAATAGCGGGACTTTCGATATCGACAGTTGAACCTAATAAACAGTCCCATTATGATAGGATTATCGGAGTAATTAGTTTCTTTTAATAGTGACGACAGTGATAAATAGACGATACTATTTATTTTTGTTCATTCTAACGATGGTACCGAATCATATTTACCAGACATATGAGCACTAGCACTAAGGTACTCCTTAGCCACTAAGGTACTCCCGCACTAAGGTACTCCTTAGCCACTAAGGTACTACGTCACCGTGACGTAGTGGATAAGCGCTTCGGCCTACGATCGTTGTTGTGAAGCAACTTTCCCAAGGGTCGGTCACGGGATGAGTGATCAAAAAATTATAATCACGAGTTACTCCGTGCTTCGGAAGGCACGTTAAGCCTTTGGTCCCGGCTGCATCTGCAGACGTTAATACCCTCCAATCCGCATTCTGCCATGGTGAGGTTTATAGCCCATCCTCCTTAACCATCCATAAGGACGGCTTGAATCCCTGCAGTGGGCACGTCAAAGGGCTGATGATGGTGATGATGATAAACACTAGGGTCTTATCCACCTCCATTATTAAGTAATGTTAAACTAATTGTATTTTCACATTTGCAGATTCCCAAAAATTCTGAAAGGACTAATTATAATTATGATTTATGTCACACATGCAGTCAACTTTTGGCCCCCATTCAACCTCTGCTTCTTTTATCTTCAAAGACTTCATCCTGAGAACAAGAAGATGATCTGGGAGCTGATATACAGAGCTATAATTGTTTGTCTTATTGGAATCTGCGCCATAGTTTTTCCAAATATCAATTCGCTTATGGGATTTGTGAGTATTCTGTTACAAATGCTGTTACATCATACCTAGTTAACATTCTCGCTGTTGGAATGCAGTATGGTACTATAGACAGTATCAGAGAAGGAGATCGGGTAACTACTGATGCAGCCCGAACACGTAGGAACTTGAGATAATATTGAACACCTATCCGCAAACTGAGCTCAAAATTTCTCGACGTATCCTGAATGCCATTACTAAGAGCCGGTTTTTGATCCGTAACTCAAACATATGTTAAAATCTTCGATAAATGGTTAAATCAGAAAAATATGATTTTAGATCAATAGTAAGTCTAACCAATTGTCATAATTCCAACTATTAGTCAAAAAAATTAACCATGGCTGGAAGCTTGGTTAAGCAAATGATCAATAGTTAAAAGATACAAATTAGTTTCCTTTGTATATTTGTCATGTTTTGTACTTACTGAAACTGTCTTGAAACTCCGCATCTAATTCGCAACTTAGTTATATAATTGTATTTAGACAAAACCAGCACCTATTTTAAGATACTAAAGACCTAGACCGTTCTGGTACGTCCTTTCTGCCCGACGCTTATCCTTTAAAATTTTATTTCAGTTGGGATCCGTTTGCTTATCGAACATGGCATTTATTTGGCCATGCCTCATTAACACACTGGTTTTGTATCAACGACCCGGCTATGGAAAGTATAGATGGAAACTGTGGAGGAATCTCATTTTGATCATTGTCGGCATATTTCTATTGATATGTGGAGGTTTGATCAACGCCAACGAAATGATTTCAGTGTTTATAGAGGCTAATCTTCGTTGATATCGATTATTAAAAAATATAGCATAAAACGATGTTAAGCCTTGGTAGATCAGGTAGTAGTATAAATTACGACTTAGCAAGTACCGAATAGACAGAAGGTAATGAAATGTAATTAATTTTTCATAAATAACAAAAAGCTATAGTAGTAGTGACACCTAGTAGTTTGATTTTTTGTTAAGAATCAAACAGAGAGAAAGGAAATATGAATTAATAAGAACTTTGCACGATTATTATACGATTTATTTGTATTTTAAAGTGTGATAAATTTTGCGCTGTCTATGTGTGCGTTGCTCGAGTGCTCTTTGTTGTCTTCTGTTATATATATTCTGTGTCGCGAGTCTGGTGGAAATGTAAGGCATTAGTGAAAATCGTCCCTGATTTTTCTTAATATCCTCATTTTTAATTGAACACAAATTTGGAATGCTAGAATGAGAATTTTTCATTTGTCAATTGATTTGATTATGTCAACAGTTCCGTATTTTCCTTTTTTTACTTAGAAATTGACTTTGTAAACAATGAAATTATAATTAAACCGAGATATTAAAGCTGAACAAAAAAGTATAATACTCGAGTAATTGTTTTTCATAGTTAATTTTATAATTTGATATATATAACCTTTTATATCTTTGAAGTTGTTAGTGCATACCACAGAAATAGATCTAGTTAGAAGGAACATGTTCGTCGATTTATATGGAGACCGAGCGTGCCCCATTTTATGTAGGTATCATGACGTCACGAACTTAATTTAGTGATGGAAAACATAATTTCTCTTCAATCGAATACATGTTGTATTTGAAACAGCATACCAATTCTTATCGATTTAAAAACCGATATCGAACGACGGAGACCAATGTGTAACATTTTGCTTAAATATTATGTATATGTCACGAATGTAATTTAGTAAAACTGCACAAAATAGTACGTGCGGTGGCGTGACGGAGTCAGCGTAGTTGACGATCAAAATATCGGACCTTTGTCTTCATTGTGAATAGAAATAAGTATATTCCTCTGTCTAACATTATTCGTGTGACCAAATCATTTTACTTATACCGCATACCTAATATCATATTTTTATCAGTAAGAACCGACAGCTAAAATGATAATTAGTTTTGACAGACAAAATGATAATACTAACGTATCGATAGAAAAAAAATGAGAAAGTCACAGACTTCAATTTAGAATTCAATATAAGTCGATTAATTGAGATCGAGATTGCGTCAATGACTACAAAACTAAATGGATCAATAATTTATTGTCACAATAATACAGTATCACATACTTTATATCAATATATGTTCAACACAAAAATACTCTGAATTTTATGATAATACTTACCATTTCACACTTTCTCTTCCTGAGCTTACTGTACATATTATTTGATTCCTTATCTGAACAAGATGGGTCTATCTGCGGCACAAATTGTATTACATTCATTAATTATATAAAACAAAATATTATAAAACAAAGTAACTATTTCATTTTCTATTTGCAGTAAAGTCAAAAACTACTAGTTTTCACCAATAGATAGAACGATGCCATGTATAATTTGCCTAAGCAAAATAATGTGTGCTGAGGCCACTATTAATATCCACTGTAATACAAAATATTACATTTGAAATCCTAACAGTAAACACCGTTTAGCTACTACTAAGCTAAACGGTGTGATTGTTCATTTAACTTCTTCTTTTATTTAATTCCCTCGCACAACTGTGTTTGAATCTGTAACTAAACAAAGATGTGCAAAAGAAATATTACACTGTCACTAAATATATTTCTGTGATACTATCCTATCTATTTATGTCACCTGATTTATCCATTAGATTCGGAAAATTACGGCTGTGACATACGGACGAACAGGCAGACTCATGTTCGATAGGATCGCTGGTAGATTACACTTTTTGTATGAAATAATGTAAAAAATCTTAAGGTATACTTTACCTTTTTTTCAGTTGTCATTATCACAACATCAATAGTCGGATATGCTGTTTTTATTACTCGTCGGTACTTTGATGGACCAGTAAAGGTATCTTCATAGAAATGAATTGAACAAATCCGACTGTTTTTTGTAGGATACCAATTTTTACGTCCTGTTGCTTCAATCCATTTTTTTTAATATATGGATCATTCGGAAAACTTAAAAAAAAAATACAGTACAAATATTCAATATAAAAAATAAATTATCATTTCTTCTGCTTAAAAAACGATTTTTTTTAATCGGTTAAACAACATCGCATTGTACAGCACTATTCGCCATTTTTGTCAGAATTTGACCTTCAACAATTTGTCCTTGAATTATAGATCGATGGTTTTACAAGCACGGCAAATTTGGTTCGTCAAATTAAAGCCGTAATGGAAAGCTATTACTGGACACGTGATCGTTTTGACGAAAATAATACGGAGCAAGAAAACAAATGATTTTTAATGCTTAATGGATATATCAAAACAAATAATTACTTACCGATGGAAGGAAATACCTCGATTATAAGATCCAACTATACTGGTGGTGTTTGAGCAGTTAATTATTGAACAACGCGTCATTTTAAATTTCACACCTAACGTTGAACTCGGATTACAATCGAAAGTAGACTGAGCCTCGCGGCGAGCAACGAAGCTGTCTAGACGTCGTTTCGGCACGCGAAGTACGTACACTTTTTCCTTCTAACTAGATATATTTCTGTGGTGCATACCTATCTTACTGCGTTTTAGGTAGTAGCATATATATGTTTATTAAAATTACGTATTTCATAATGTTTACTTGCTATTTGTTATTATAATTATGATCTTCTTTGGACTTTTTGTAACGTTATTAAATTGTTTATATTAAATGTTATACTTTTACGATTTTTTCTTTTATTTCCATCTGAGGTATTATGTCAAATAAAAGCTGACTTATCAAAAAACTGCACAGAACTGATAATTTGTATAAATACGCCCAATAGGGAATATGCGTCTGATTCAAAAAAGGGTTAAATATATTTTATTACAATCGTTATTGCTTTAGAATACAGTCTATCTAAATATTTTTCAACTTTAGTTCGTTTTCGTCTTGAAAATAATTATTAAAAAGTGCTAAATAAATGCGGTAACTTTAAAATATTTAAACGCCATGCTACTTGTCAGAGCGGATGTGACGAAAATGTACACGTATAGGGATGTCGTAGTTACAAAAAGTTAACATCGATGCAATAACATCAATGTATTATTTCGCAAAATAAACAACTGATTACAATTTAAATTATGTATTTGGTAAATTAAATGATTTATTAAAAAAGTCTATTATACTTAAAAAATCGGTTAGTTGTTAATTGATTTGGGTAATTGAATAATTATCACTCAAAATCCATATTGATTTAAAGTGTCATATCTCTAGTCGTGTACTTTGACGTCACGACCAGCGCGCCAAAAATTACGGTGTTTAAACTGCTCGTAGATATTACTTATTTTCATCAATGATTAATGTTACAAGATTTTATTTTTCCTGTGCCGGGTATTATTTTTTACAGTTATATATCGATGTAAATTATCATATAAAAACATTTTCCGGCAAAATTGTATAATCCTCGAAGAGTTGGGCAACACGCTATCTTTCTCACTCTAGCAAAAGGCGGTTTTGAATGGTAGATAAGGATAGGGCACAGTTAACTCAACCCTAATGATACACATCTTTCAGGGTTATATCCTACATGTTCCGTAAATTAAACTTATATTTAACGAAATAAATTGTGTGACACTTATTTGGAAAATGTTACGTCTCTTATTAAGTTGTTACATTACCAAAACAGATTTCTTTCTTGTTTTTTCCTGAAAATCTTTAATTTTATCAATTTTAACATTAAGTTTTTCAATCATTTAGGATGACTTGTGTTTCATTACATAGGTGAACTACGGGTACATTATTTGAATGGCAGACCACCTAGGTGATCCATAGGTACAAAAAGTTAACAGTGGAACACCTAGGTGAACCACTTTGGTGTTCCACGGGTCAGAAACTGTTTTTTATTACAGCTATAAACATAAATGCACAAATACGTTTTTCATTTAGTGCCATTAATTTGTAGGAGTGTTTTCAGCGGCAGCACACAAACATAGCACCGTATCTCCGAAACTATTAATCCCAGACATGCTGTTACTTGTACATTATTTCTCAGATATTAATGTAGAAGTACTATATATTTATTAAAAAAATAAGTTCAAAAAGCCAATTGTATTGAACGTTTTGTGCATTTGATTCAACCCGATACCAATCACAAGCCGGTTACGCGGTAGTCCTTTGTCTGTTTGGCTGAGTTCGCAGTGTTGTCATTGTCATATCAAGGTAATTATCTTAATAAGGATACCTTTACAATTATAATTATAAAACACTACACAAACTCTTCTTGTACTTTAGGACTTGTTGTTAAATGGAATTTATCTTGAAACAACTATCAATTGTGGTTTTTCTGTTTATGAAAATTGTAAAAATGAACCTTAATAAGATTTTGTTTTTGTTTGTATATTTTTTATAGCTAGTTTACAACAATAAAAATAAAGGTTGATTAAAATTATAAGTGCCTTTCTGTATTTAAAAAATCTCAGGCACTATTAAAATAACTGATTCAGAAAAAAAAATAGTTTATAACTGCATATGTAGACAACGCAGTGAATTTTTCACTGTCAAGGTATTAATGTCTTCATCAAAATATAATTCACATTCTAGAATATTCAAACACAGCCCTGGAGCGTCAAAGCTATGTAAAGCGTAATCGTAATCTTCGATCTACCCTACTATACTATCTATTGTTGACAGAATTTCAGGTCCCTGGACTCCGGTTTGTTCCGAATCGCCTAGCACTGTAGCCTTTATTCTAGCCAAAGTATACGATATCTTAACGATGTTATTACGATATTTCGTTTCATATTACTACTTTGACATGTCGTTGTTGGATAAATTCAGGATAAATAACTAAATTGGTAATACTGCTATCATCCATACCGTCAGTTGCATAAACGTCCATTAAGGTTTAATGACGTCTTTAAACACTAATTAACGTCAAGTTTGTATGGGTAATGTCGCTTTAAGTTAATGAACATTTTAATGGACGTTTGAGCAACTGGCAGTTTATCTTTCGTTCGTCGTTACTAACGTACATGTCAAAGTGGTAAAATGAAACGAAATATCGTCATAACATCGATAAGACGTCGTATCCTATGGCTAGAACACCAATGAAATGTCGATAATGTTTTTGTAGTGAAAATTGGAAATTAAAATTATACACATAAAACATTGATCAACTGTATATTTCTTCAATGAACGCCTTCATTAAATTCATCTTTGAACAAATTTATAATGAGATTATTAGGCTTGTAGTCATATATATTTTTGACAGGCTTCTGTTTTTTTAACTCGGCAAAACAGTCTAACACTCTTGACTTGATTTTATCATTTTCTGGTCTATCCAAATAGTCTACCATCAATCTTATAGGGTCTTTGAATGTCTTCGTTCGTTGTATCCTCTTAATTTCATTGTAAAAATAATTAGTTGTGAGATAATGGTTCTGGAGAAACTTCATAATTTCCTGCCTCTTCCGCTTCTGCTGACTTTCGAGGAGTCGTTTCTCTTTCAATATTAGTCTTTCTTTCCCTGAATCATCGTAAGCATGCACAATTGGTCCAGCCCTTAGAGCGCCTGTTTGGGGCAATTCTTCAAAGGCAAAAATTAATACAGCCGGTTTCATAGCCTTTAATCTTCTAGCGTTCACATTTCGTCCAGTATTGACAAGAAACTGAAACAAAAGGTCGATAAATAAATATGTTTCCATACCACTTCGGTTGCTATAGTTTCATCATCTCTAATAGTTAGTATGTAATCTTAACATCCAATTTAACAAGCTTTTACCAAGGCCGGATCTAGGGGTGGGGGGACTGTCAGATTAGTCATAAAAATATACTTGATAATTATAAATCAATTTGCTAGATGGCGTTGGTCTTAGCTTATTTATATTTTTTATTTCGAATTCGATCGTTAGATAGCATTTTATTGACATCTTTTACGATCAGTTGCACAAACGTGCATTAGGGTCTAATGACATTTTTAAGCTCTAATGAATGTCAAATTTGTATGGGTAATGTCGCTTTAAACAAATTTCAATTTTAATGGACGTTTGTGCAACTGGCCGTTAATCTTCTTGTCTAAGCATCTGTTTTGTGTACATAGACGTCATCAATATGACAGTCGAGTGTTTCCGCGGGTACAAAAGTTTAAATTATGATTTAATTTTAAGGCAAGGAAACGTGTTCATTTTTTACAAATATCTTTTTTAAGTTAGAATAAACAGTTACAAGTATTATTTCAAACAGAGTAGAATACCCGACTTATTAATTACGGTAAAAATAAAAAATAAAAAAATAATATTTAATAATCTACCCGACGGACAAACAAAATTTAACCATCATCCCTATTACACAAACGTCCATTATAATTGCCATTAATTTAAAACAGTATTGCCGATACCATTTTCAAATTTAAAACATTCATTATTAAACCTTAATGGACGTTTGTAGAACTGGGTATAAACTCCCAACTATCTTCACGCAAAATAATGACGACCTATTACGGCGGGAAAGAAGAGCAAACAAACTTATTTTCCCAATTATAAGATTACTATTGAAGTATTATTATACTCACAACAATAACAAACGTAAACAATAACTTTACATACATTTCATAAATAAGATATGGTTTTGCATTTTAATCAAACACAATTTGTGATTGAATTCCACGGTGTTCGTTCATGTAAAAAACTTTAATAATTGAACATTAATACTTCTATTCGATTTTATGTTCCAATTCGATTTATCGTAAGGTTACGTCAGAAGTAGGTAAAAATTATTTTTAACAACCTTGAATGAGATGAATGAGGAGTCGTCACCATTTAATCATTATTACAAAACATATCATTATAAGAAAATAATTAAAATTTCTATGAAAAACAAAAATCATTAAATTAGAATTGAATCCATATGTTGCTGGTTCGTATCTGGCTCGAAGGACCTAAAAATAGTATGGTGTTTCTTTCAACTTAAAATGATAATAAATTTAATAGTATTAATCCGATATTAGTTAATTGATATTAAATATAAAATAACATGATATTTTACAATAATTATTCCACGCGACCAATGCTAAGTGTAATCCGAAAATATTGCTTATATACAAATTAAGGAATTATAAAATAAATAAAATTAGATTTTACATTAACTCTGAATTAACGCAATGTACGGTCATTCACCATAGAGGCGCTATTGTTAATTAAACCGTTTCAACTTCGGAGAGAATATAATTTTAAACTAAAAATGTGCAATTTAAAACTAGTTTGAAATAGTAACAAAATAAACATTTATGTGTCATGAAACTCGCTAGAAATGTTGTTATCGAATCGTAACATTTTATTTCATGTAAAATTTTATATTACATATTATTTGGTAACACATCAAGTATCAACTTTGTGATAAAGTAGCAAATCATAAAGGACCATGTTGATAATTGTTTTAACGCTGTTGGCATCAGGATATATCATAATGGAAGAGGTAAATCGTTAAATTCTGTTATGTGACTTCCACGAAAGTTAAGTTTTATGGTATGGTCATTAAGTCCAAAGTCGAAGGTGACTTTCGCTTTATTAAATTTTGAGCGCCCAATATTCTTTTTACCGTTAAACCTATTGAGAAGCACTATTTAGGGGTTCAAAATAAAACCGACCTTAAATTGTAATACAGATTTAGTTCGATCAAACCTCTATGGTACAGTGAACTGGACGACAGACTATACAAAATTGTCAAGTTTCCCCAATGGATTTAATCCTTAGAATGTTGAGGATAAAGGTCAAAATCCGATGCAGAAATTTGACGTTTTATGGTAACCTGACGTGCAGCTGCATACAGCTGTTGTACACAACAACAGTACTATGGCCACACTGAAACTTGGCGCCATAGGTTAAACACTGGAACGACGCCCATAAACAAGCACAACAAAATTCAAAGACTAATGTTGGTATACCGGTTAAAGAGTGTAATATTTATATTATATTGGTACTTTATAATACCGTGACAATGGACTCATGTTCAAAGAAAAAAAACAATTTTATAAGGCACTGCATTTTTTACGTTCAAGTAATTAGAGCAAACATAATGTGCTTGCCAAGACAAACCTTTGTTTGCCTATATAGACAGATAGACAGATATAAAATTGTTATTCGTTTAAAGCGACATTACCAGTACCAATTATCAAATTTAGAATACTCATTAGAACTTAAACTCGTCATTAAAGCTTAATGGAGGTTTGTGCAACTGCATGCTTTAATCAAATATAAATTTCAGGTAGAAGCATTAGTCCGACGTGAGGTGGCACCAGAATTCAGGTTCATCAACTACCCTACAATTCACCTGCCTAAGAGGACTTCGACTTACCTTTTCAAATTATTCAAAGCACCACAAAGAATTCGTGTATAGATTTTCCAACTATGTTATTTTTAAAAAAAAATCTGTATTTACATTAAACATCTATAGTAAAAGACAAAGCTAACTAAACGACGCATATATTAACCAACAAAATGTATGTAGCTAATGACTCATTTACATTGGACCGCATGTAGAGTGTGATATTTTGTGCCTCATTTTCATTCATCTGTCATTGTTATCAACCAATGGTAAGAGCCCTCAGAAATCTGAGACTGTATATCCAAACTAATATTATAAACGCGAAAGTAACTGTCTGTGTATGACGTACACACATGTACAAACATACTATTGAATTGTCATGCCTAAACTACTGATCCAATTTTAATGAGATTTGGTACATAGAATGAATGAACATTTGAAAACAATATAGGATAGTTTTGCATCTTAAAAACACCAAATTTCATGCAGGCTAAGCCATGAGCTAAAAGCTAGTATAAATATAAATGTGTTTATTTGATTGGATTCAGAATAACTATGAGCTTTGAGTAAACAATCCGTTCAACCTCAAGTTTACACAAAGGTAAACTAGGGGTATAAAAGTAGATGTCAACCTATTCTTAGAACTACTGAATATATATATGAAATTTCATCAAAATAGGTTAAGCCATTTTAGAGGAGTAATGTAACTAAAACTGCGACACAACAATTTTATATATTAGATGATATTGAACCTTGCACACTCCCATAAACCATTAGCATACAGCCATGAGACACTTGCTGGATCTGTCAGATTTGCCCTGACTTTAAGCCTTATTGAAATAACATATGTTTGATTTTTTTTTATTAATTGAAAAATCAATTTCGTACAGACAATTTGAGGCTACAGAAAAAGACCATAAAATACTCTTCTGTTTCCAAATTATCATCAATAACACCTATTAACCAACAGATGAACTCGCTACAATCAAGTATAATTGAACCGGACATTAAACTTTTACCCCAAAGGGTGACTGAGTTCAAAAGAATAAAAAGCAGGAGTATCCTTAAACTAGCACAGCATTGAGAAAAACCATAATTTATAGTGATTTCTCTTGAGTGTGGCCTCAACATTATAATCAGAACTAAGGGTATACCTGTCTTATCCCCATTCAACTATTTCTGCATCTTTAAAATCTTCAAGTTTCATCTTTTTGATGCTTGGTGGTAAATTTTCATCATAGCTTTCTAATGTTGCATTATAAGTCCATGGAAGCACATGAGTAACACCATTACTATCGTACAGTGTTGTGCTGTTCTTGTCGTCTGCATTATCTTGCAGTTTGCATTTGTCATTTTGCAGCTTTTGGTAAAGATCTTGGAAGGATAGTGTTCTATTGTCAAATTCAGCTTTACCTTTTGATGTAACTGAAAACATGATATGTGTTTTTCCTTTACTACAATACTCTATGGTTATGTAATAAGATAATATACTAATACTATAAAGAGGAAAAATTTTGTAGTTGATTTGTTTTATTGTTTATTTGTTTGCAACAAATAGGCTCTGAAACAACAAATTTTAAAAATTCTTTCACCTATGGGAAGCTAAATCGTATGTGGTGTGCAAATAGCAAATAGAAGAATGGAAGTGAAATTTTGTACAGGGAATTAAAACTTAACCATAGAAAGCATCGGTCACTACCAAATTTATCATCATATTTATATCTATGTCGTAATATAAATCAATATCTAAATAAACAGTTCCCTAGGGACTATGCGGGCGAAGCCGCTTGTGGAAAGTAAGTCTATAATAATAAATGTCACTTCATGAATATCAACAAAATTGTAAGTATATATCAACAACAACATACATATCAACAAAGTGTGTAATGTATTGGCTTAAACCAAACCTATGATAAACGAAACAACTTTAAAATGGTTTCATCCCATGTTGCTATATAGTTTTATGACATTTACAGCCTCCTTACAGGTTCCATGTTCACATAAGACTAAGATGTTGATTGTCTTTTTGTAAAGTTGTTTCATTTATGGATAGTGTACGTAAAAATACAAGACATCAATAAACCTATGATAATTATGGCATGCAGTTTTATCATACATATACATATTTGCAATTTAAAGGTGATATTTATAAAGTAAAATTGGTAAATATCAGGCAGTAATAGAATTTAGTAAAAAGAATTATAGATCAACTTACCATACTGTCTAAGTTCAATCAATTGTTCTCTTGTATAATGTGAAAATCTACAGATAGCGCCAAACTGACACTGGCCCGATGCAAACCTAAGACATGGCTTTTTTATAGCCTCTTCTTTTAATATAGTTTCTGGGTCTGAAAATTAACAAAATAACTACTTGATTACAACTACATAACAATCTGTACCCACGTGTAGTTTAAGCACTTCATTCCTCATGAATCACAAAATGATATGAATATTGCTGTAGTTAAACGTTTTTCTTAATCAAATAAATCAATCTTACCCTTAAATTGTTGATAATGCTCTTGAACAAGTTTCTGATGCACCAAACCTTTGATATGAATCTTAACAATAGAAGGTGCGGCTACCATCGTTTTATCGCAGTAATCACAGTGATATCGTTTACCCATTTTGTTTTAAGTATTTTTTGGTTTGCCGGCAATAGACGTTGTAATTTACAATAACTGACAATAACTTTGAAAAAATACAAACAGGTTAAAAATAAAATGGTTTAACTACACTGTAAAGGAAATACGATGGAGTAAAATGATATTATCATAGAACACAATCTGGGATTATATTCTTTTCTTTGAGGAAAAATGAGAATAAAAATATCTATTTCATAAAAACAATACGGTCGCAAATCGCAATCAGTAGTAGTAGTATTATAATTCGTCCATGGGACAGGCGAAGGCACTAAGCCATACAGCCAACGGTCGCAATCAAGGATACGCAAATTAATTTTTTTTTTTTCAAAAAAGTTTTATTGGCCTCGGCTTCTATGGCTTTCAGCATAGAAACGAAAAAAGTATCAACACACAAAGTATTCATTAAATAATAGTATCGATACGTCAGGGTATTGATACTTTAGTTTGAAACCAAGTACTTTTGGAATCGATACTTTAATGAGAAAGTATTTAAAAAAAAAAGAAGGCACTAAAAAAAGCATCTCAAAATTGATTTTTGTAGAAAACGAATGGACCAAACACAGTCATTTCCGTTCCTATTAACTAACATCTTAAATAACTGAAATTTGAAAAGTTCGAAACTTAGATATCAATACAAATACGAAAAAGTACAAATAGAATATGAGTTTTTTATTGAGTTTTGAAAACTAATTTACTTTTAAACATGAAAGAAAACCGGAAAGGTTGTCATGCAAAAATCAAGAACGTAACATGGCGACATCTAGTTAGATTACGGGAACTAGATCTTTTACTTGGATCGCCATTTCTTATAAATTAGGAACATAAGGAAAAGAAAAAATATTAATTATATCCAACATGAAAATCGATTACTAAGCTAAGCTAAGCTCGATATAATGTAATTCAGATATTGACAAATGTGTTAAGTAAATTAAAAATATATGTATTAATATGTAAATGGGTACAAAGTCCGCAGTTTATTTATTTTTTAAATTATACAACATTGATAGAATAAATTAAAGAACGGAATATCTACAGCACCTCAAAGTGTGACAAGTATATAATAAGGGTAAAGTACGATGCTAATTAAAAGGCATGGCAGTTCCTGATTACCTACTTATCGATTTAAAAAATGGTCAATAAAATGATAACTTAATGTAACAGTTCTAAGACATAACTGAAGTCGGTTTTTCTATTCATTTCATCGAATCGTAAGAGGTCATTGAACTCCAGCCGTACAGATGATACTCGTCGTGCGTAGGTACCCACAAGAGAGCCAGGACGATTGAAATCTAGCTTTGCACTATTCTTATAGCACACACCCAGTTGCAAAAAGGTTAATTAGATTTGTCATTTGTTTAAAGAGACACTACCGATAGAAATTTTGAGCAATTTCGAGCAACGATACTGCTCACAAAGCCATCGAAATTCTTGATTACCTACTTTTAGATAGCTATTCAACATTCAAACGCAATAAAATGATTTATGTAGCAGTTGTAAAACATAACACTTAACTGAAGCCTGTTTTTACTATTAGTTCCATCAATTCGCAAGGGGTCATTGAACTCCAGCCGTACAGTTGATACGGTTGCGTGGTGCGTAGGTATCTACAAGCAAACCACACCACGACTGAATTAAATCGACATTTAAAATTTACATTATTAGTTTTTAAAGATTTAGGAACCTTATGGTTGAATGTGTGGTTCCTAACTGTGGTGATGGAGACAACTGGCCAGGGAGACTAAAGGATAATTGTCTCCCTCCGAGCTAGGTGTAGTTAGCCTGGGGACCGCGGTCCAACCGATGTAGGTTGGACGTTCTATTTATGTTAGTTAGTAATGAAACTTTTTCTGTGGGATGTAGGTTTCTTTGTTCTAAATGTCTTGTAGTTATTAATTTGTGATGTTTGTATTGGCACAGCGCCATCTCGTTACTTGCTGTTGAAACTTTTTGCAGTTCGTCTTGCTATCGATGGTTGTGACGATGCTAGTCTTCTGGCTATCAATTGTTGTGGCGATGTTAGTGCGATGAGTTAGATGTCGCTATGTATCAGTCGCCACAAAGACATTATCTAAATTTTGAAATAAAGCTTGAAATCGCATTAAAGCATAAATAATCTTTTTGCAAATGAGTATTGAAGTCTCTAATTTGTTAAATGATCATGATCAGATGACAGAATTTAGTTTTGAATGAATTTAACTAAGAGCATAGGGTTTTACTACCTACAATTTCTCGCAAGTCAGTGCACTCGGCAGAGTATGTACCTACGTACTATGCACAGCGTCACAGCTGTGCGCAACATACATCGTGCGTTATGATTTTAAGACTTTATTTAAAGGATAACTATTATTTATTTGTATTATGTTTCTTTGGAAAAATATTTTGTAATAACATTTTAAAGCGTTTTTCATAAAAATGTGGATTTTGTTGTTTTCACTTTGACATCCAATATCTCCGTGAACTATGGTTTCCCAGGATTATTCTAGAACAAAAGTTGTCAGTATTGATCACCTCAACGTCTACCTTTCGGCTTCGTTATGACTTTTCTTCCACCCGTTATAGATGCTAGGTGGGTACTAAATTTAAATTTATCGCAACTTTCGCGAGGGTCGGTCATGGGATGGATCAACCCTCGCGAAAGTTACTTAACAATAACGATCGCGGGCCGCAGCGTGTCGTGACCCCTGATCTGATAGCCACGGCGATACCCAAATGCTTGTGAACTTACAAGATTGTATTATATGTATATTAAATGGAGTGTTGCGTATATATTTATTTTTATGATAATAATATTATGTTATTTATAATTGCGTGTAAAGGAATAGATTGCATATTTATTTATGTATCTATAATATGTATGTATCGAATTTATGTAATATAATCTCGAATATTTATATAATATAATCAAGTATTTAAAATTGTACCTAATAGATACACCGAGTACTTTTACATGATCATGACATGACCGTACGTTCCCAGTCTCTTGCCTCTGATACCAACTAAGAGGTACCGGCAGACTTGTCTTAAATCTCGGGAGCCCACGCTCCCCCAGATGGTCTCCTCCTCTCCCCTTAAAATCACCCTTACCTCCAAATATCACTTTGTCTTATCTCGCACTCTATGTATCCTTATTTCTATTTACTCACCCAGATTCTTTCACTTTATTTAACACACTTACACACCATGACTTACTACCACTGAACACTCTATTTCTCTCCTCTCTCTCTCCTTCTCTATCTGTCACTGTCTCTCTTTCACATCTATTTTGTTGCCAGCCTTAAATATATATCGGGTCTCGCGTCATTCGCGATACGGCGCTTATCCTCTACTCAAACTTTTCTTGCTTTGTCAAAATGTCGACTTTTGGTCGTCAATGTTTTAATAATAGTTCAAATCAAAATTTATGAAATTTGGATATAAGTTCATTTGGAAGATATCAATATAAAAACCTAAAGTGTTTATTTGTATAAATTTTGATCCATGAAGGGGTGAAATGTGGTACCAAATGAATCGTGTAATATTACACATGCAGGGTGCTGCCCGCCAGTTCCTTGTCTCTTAATAATACTTATTAAAAATACGTGATGTCGCTAAACATCAGTATTCTATTTTTACAGTAGATTTTAAATATTATATTTTGTTGAAAAGGGTAAATTTTTAAACATTATATTTCGTTGTTAAGCATTACGTAAAGATTAGGGAAGATATAGCAGCACTAGCTTATATTGTAATCAAATATTTGTTCATGTTTGCTTTTTGTTTTTTGGGAATGAATTCTTTATTTTATCCAAATATGCAGCAATTATTTATATTATTGGACAAATTACTTTTTGCCTTTGCCTTCATATTGTTCTTTGCCTTCCGCCGTATCATCCCGATCTCAACCCCATTGAGCTAGTGTGGGCCGATATAAAGAACAAATTATAAAAATTCATCATTGGACGACAAAATTCCAATCATCACAATATTGTTTTCTGAATTTACTCCGCAAAAATAGCGAAAGTGTGACGACTACGTACATAAAATTGAGGACCAATAAATAAATAATAAATTATGTTCGCGTAACCAATTTTGCATGACTCTCTGTAAACTTGACATTGTAGATATTTTCTCAACCTTTACGCATTGTCCATCATGATCTTAATTAAGCTGAATTGGGAGCTAATTTATTTTTCAATTTGTGATTAACCCAATTTTGGAAATTTGTATTTCGTATCTGATTTGAAAATAGTTAAAGCACCGTCAACTAATCCGTCTCAACTGCCACCAAGGACAATAACCAAACGACACCCTTTGTCAATATCATCATAAATACCAGACTCAGATTCGGATTGCCAACTCATTTTAGAGTTGTGGCTACTGTTAACGTAGGTTTCGTCCAGAAAAAATATGTTTCAGTTTTCATTTCTATATTTCGGTATAACTGCTAAATATCTTACTCTCCATTTAGCTATACTGGGTCTCTAAATCAAAATATGTATCTTAGATTTACATTTCTTAAATAAATATCCCATCTTGTGTAAAAGCTGTCTTAAATAAGTACAACTGCAGTTCACTATACCATCTTCTTTAAAACTGCAAGCAGCTTACGAATGCTAGGGATTTTTTAATCATCAGTATAAATAATACTGATGATTTTTTCTTCGTATTATTTACATGGGTGTCAAAATCATCATTATGGATTCTCTTTTTCATTTCTTTAGGTTTCTGTAGAGACCAATTTCAAGTTTTAAGATGTTTGCAGATTCGAATATCCTTCAGCTAGAATTCCCATTATACTGCGATCTGACACTCCTGTAGCCTCTAATACCAATTTATTAATGTTTATATCATATTTGTGTTCTACACTATCCTTGTCAACCTTTTGTCTGAGAAAACAAACTGTGGACATTGTAAATAACATTTTTCACTTGTCGTGTAATTCGCGGACCTATTTTTGGACATTTTATTTCATGTATGTTTCGAACAAATTGGCACAAACAACTGAATCGTGTAACCATCACGGCGGTACACGGCAGACTTAGTCAGCTTGACATTTATTTACCTCCCCGTCCTGCCGCTCAAATACCTCAGTACTTTTAGGTCAATGGAGACAACAAAGGAAAAAACGAAAAGGAAAGAAGGAAACCCGGGACCTCAGAGACGGTGACACATTAAAATCTATATGCGAACGACGTCGTCAAATTCCAATGAATTATTAACTCATATAAGAAATCTAATTTATCAATTGGTGGTGAAATAGGAAAGAAATTAATAATCTCTATGGCGCTGCTAACGTTAAGAAAGCACAACTAAAACTTTGTGTTTATAAAGTAACCAAAAATAAGCCAAAAGTTTCATGCATTAGGTCGAAGATCCAAAACAATTTATTAATTTAAATTATCACAACTAAGGAACATTAGTAAACACTTTTTATCTGTCCACATTAGGATTTTCATGTGTTAACAACTGCAGATAAATTAAATACGTGTTTCGGAACATGGATGAACTCGTCAGCAAACCCTCGATGGGCCTTTTTGTTGTTTAAATTGCATAGGTAAAATCCGCAATGCAGAACGACAGGCTAGCCATTGCTACCTATGTAATTCTTTAAAAAAAAAGGTCAGCTTGTTAAAATTAGTCTTTATTTTGATTATTACTTATAACGTAGAGAAGTCTTGGTGACGATTTCTTTAAAACCGAAACTAGTTGATACAGCTTGGAACCCGGCATTATCTTTGCTTTTAGTGAATTCTGTAAAAAAAATCCTTTTCAGTACGTAAGTACTTAAAGTTTAAGGTTATCTAACAAATACAATTTTTAGAAGCAACTTGTAAAAGATATGCAATCAAAAAGGAAATAATTAAGTCTATAGCAATTAAAAATTGTCCATTCAAAGCATACTAAGTCATAAGCCATAATAGGGTGAGGATACCTACTAAGTCTGAAGTGAGGATAAGGGGAACTATTATGAATTTGACTGCATTTTTCATACACTGCAATGAGAAAGTATTTAAAAAAAAAAACCACTAAAAAGGCACCATATTAGATAGCAACTCTACCAAGAGTTGATTTTTGCAGGAATGGAATGGACCAAATAGAGTCATTTCCGTTCCTTTTATCTAACACATTAAAAAATTGAAATTTGCAAAGTTCGGAACTTAGATATCAATACAAATACTAAAAAGTACAAATAGAATATGAAGTTGTTTATTGAGTTTAGAAAATTACTTTACCTTTATACTCGAAAGAAAACGGGAAAGGTTGTCATAGAGAAATTTGATTGATTTTGGGAACTTTTTTTTTTAATACTTCTACGTTATTTACTTGACGAAAAAGGGTTAATATTAACATAACATGGAACCAGTGTTGCCACAGCCCATAATATATATTAAGTAGAAACTGCAGCTTAATTAATACGGCGGCATATTTTACTTCAATACAAAATATACATTTTTAAACTTTAACATTGATTATAAATTAGAATCAACTTTGATAATTTTAATACGTAAAATATTTACAAATTTTAATTATTAAACTGATGATGTGAGAAAAGAAAATGAAATTATTGTTAGTTTGCTTAAAATTTCTTACCAATTTCGGTATTCGCTTGGATGTTGAATCTTCTAAATTCTAGAATAAAGACCATAACAAAAAACAATTAAAAAAATTTAATTGACTTCAAAAAAAAACGTAATAAAGAGAAACGACTCGTAATAAAGAGTAAGAGAGGAATAATACTATAAATTTTCATCTTCAAAAAAAAACAAAACACAAAAAGTGGATACACCAACAATTTTTTGAGATCGGTGCCAGCCATCTCATTAGTAAAAAGTAAAACAGCACTGTTTTATAGAAATCGAATCAGTAGTTTTCCTTTTATAACAAAACAAAATACGCTTTTCACTAAATATCACTCATATATTTAGTTAATATGGCAAGACTTTCACCTTTCCAGCTAAAAAAACAAAAGATTGCATATAGGGAATTCATTAAAAATTCAAAAGGTGAATTTTCTAAATTCAAGGAGTGTGTTTATTTTTTATGAAAGTAAATATGTTAATGAATTTCTTCTTGAATTATGAACCATTTTCTATCAAACTAGCTGTTCCTGTTCCTGCGACTACGCCTGCGTAAATTATGTATAGCGTATGTGCAACGCGTATTAAGTAGCTTCTCAAAGACGAAAGACTTTCATAAATCGTTCATATAGTTTCGAAGTCTATTCAATGAAAACAAACAGCTTAATAAACTTAACCAAAAGCTCAATAATTTATTTAAAAATGAAAAAATCAGTTAAAAATAATTAAACAGACAATCGTAATAAATATAAACGACTGAAAAGAAAGAAGTAATTTCATAAATTTTGATCTTCAATAAAATCAATAAAATAATAAAATCATCAGCTCAAAAAACAATAGCGTTTTTGGAAAATATGATGCCCAAAGTAACTATATCACGCGGACGAAGTCGCGGGTAAAATCTTATTAAAATAAGGGAGTTTTAAGACTTACATAGCCGGTTTTTTCTTGAAAAGATCTTAATATCTTCTTTGGATTTACTTCTTCTACCCATACGGAATCCCAATAATCCTGTTGATCAGATATTTAATTTATGAATTCGTAATTAAATCTTTCACTCTCAAGAGTATTATCTTTAAAAATGCGGATCAAAATAAATTCACAAAGTATTTGATACTTATTTTCAAACGCACAAACACACATACATACACTTTTTAGTTCTTGTGGCTTATTGGATTATTTTATTAGTATCTTGTTGCTACTATATATCACTTTTAGAAATTATCCAAAAGTGAAATGTTAACATTATTATATATAGAACGTAGACTGCTCTTTGTAAAACTCACACCAGATCTTAGCAAGTTCATTTCGTTGTCATCTAAAGAATTTGAAGGCTGATCGGCCTCTTCTAAAGCTGATCGCATAGCCACACTCAACACCAATTCAGGCGAGGCCTATGAAAAAATTACAATTTAATATAACTTTGGTACTTCTCAAACATATTAGGATCACAAGGTCACGCATTTTCAAGAAAGTTATCAATATTAAACTTACCTTTATTGGTAAGAGTTTTAAATCCTCTGCGTGAAAAGGTTCTTTCTTTAACTTCTGTAAATGTAGTTAACATGTATAGCAAATAATAAAATCCCTATAAACTAAATAATTGTTACAATTTTTGTAACAATTATTTTAACTTTTTATCTGAATAAAAGTTTCTGAAAAAAAATAATAGATTTAAATAATACCCCTTTAAATATGTTATAATATTAGTTAGAAATAATATTAATATATTACATCATCATCATCAACCCTACCTCCCCTCTCCAAATTATATTATATGTATAATAAAAAATTGGATGAGGCCTATATTATCGACTTACTTCTTCATATGGATATTGTACCACAAATCGCCGCCCATAATTTTTAAACATAGTTGGGTAATAATGGTGTTTGTTAATGCCAAATGTGTCAGCTGGATCACCAGCTAATTTCTCCTTTTCATACTGTTTATTAACAAGGACTTGCTTTGAGTAATCCTGAAAAAGACCATTTATAAGACCATAATTCTGTATGAGAAAGATAACCTTTTTTCTTCAAAGTACCACCAATGCCTCAACAAGACTATTGCCTTTGATTAGTGGATTCAAGTGTTTACATTAGTAGGTATTTGCATCAGGCAAAATTTTATTTAGCTTCCGCTTTTTATTAATTAAACCAAGTCATAGTTCTCCCTATATGGGCTCCATGCTATGTGATGGGTGTTAACAACAGCAGTAACAGCAGGCAAGCACAGAGGGGCTTGACATTTTAGATGTTGGGTCACCCACCATATGACCTCCCTTTTCTAAAGTTTCTTAAACTGTGCATCGCAGACCAGACGGGCGAATAATAAAACATATACCACGCTTCGAAATTAAGCCTTCTGCCCAAGCACATTAGTGAGTCACATTACATACTGTAATCTCCAATCTGTTCAAGTACTTTATTTATCTCACCGCTAACTTTTCAAGAGCTCCATCGATGTTCTCCTCGTTGTTCTTTGAATACAATAACAAATGCTCTAAATCAAAATCTTTTTCCGTTTGTTTGAAATTAACCTCTGCGGATGCTTGTTCATCTCGGTTGCTCTCAGTAATGATATCTTCTACTGATTGACATTTCTGAAATCATCAAATCAAATTCGTTATGAAGTTCGACAAAATCTAAATTTATTTTTACTAGATATTTTCGTCATAAAATTTATTTCGTTTCTCTAACTTGTCGGGTTAGTTAGTGTGAGTCAAATCTTGCAAGATAAATTTGACCCACATCCCTTAGATTAAGTTGAAATTTCGCATTAACATATAACTAAGACGACAATAGAATACTACAGTTAAAGAATGAAAGTGAACCATGGGACTTTAGTAATTCAAAGAAGGGTTCTTTTTGGAAAAGACTTTGGTCCGAGATAATATCCAGGATCTTACGATAGAACTGAAAGGTGGCTATGTGTACTTTTTAATAAAATAATGAAACCTCGAATTTGGGCTCAACTATTTATCTAACAGGCTCATTAATTCAACATAAATTTTTAAAATTTGTTATTATCAGTATTTAACTCTCTGGTTGACTGATAAAGAATGTATTAAGGCATTAAGTCTACCCTTAGTAGACCTCTGTATGCAATAAACTTTAAATAAATAAAAATAGTCTAATTAGATTAAAAGTTGGTTTTAAATCTATAAATATATATTTTTAATCACATGACCTGAAACAAGTTAGCCATTGTGTGATGTCATGTCGCATCGGCAGAAATATTTCTGCATCTGTCGAATTAGTCGTTAACTTGCTGTTTTTACCTTATTTGACATATTTTTTGCGTTTTTTTTTTGTGTGTTTAGATATAAAAATTACGTCATGAATATAGCAGACAATGTTTTTGTTTAGCGGGTAGAAAAGAATTTTTAAGGTCTTGGCTTATTTTTCTGAAATATTTTCTATGATTTATTTCATCATCATCATCAGCCGATAAACGTCCACTGGTGGACAAAATATTAAAATTTTGTAGAGTCCTTTGTGATTTATTTAATTTAAATAAAATTAAACACTTTTTTAAACAGAGGAGAATGATAAAATATTCCGCACTTATCGACGATAGTTACTAAAATTAAAAAATACAATATAATATATATTTAGTTTCTTACCCTAAGCATAAACTGATTAACAAAATAGATCGCAGACATTAAACATAACAACTTCATTATTATAAATCAGGAAGAACAAAATGTTTACTATGAGAATTTCCAAATTCAAATAAAAGATATGAAATTTTAATTGAAATTGATTTTTATGAGTTTTCATTTTAAGAAGTTAATGTTTCATAACTTCGCTACTATTTTTCAGGTAAATGAAATATTGTTTGGTCACAGGATTTGATAGAGAATGAGTTATTTTATATAAAATGCTCTATTTTTAAATAAGCCTGTGGTAGTGGTTCATGAAAGTTTTTTTTAATTATATCTAAAAGTCGTTTCAGAATTTAGTTTTACTAATGTTAGATTTAATAATAATGAGTGGAACAGTTCCTTTATTATAAGTACTATTATACGTCTCTATAGAACAAGAAGTAGCTTATAATGTTTTAAATAATTAATTGGGTATAAAAGACTGAAACCGATACTAATTAAAGGATTGATAATTAATATATCTTTTGAAATGATTCACAATATGTTGTAAATAGAAGATTTGTTTATACGTCATAAAATGAGGGTAAATCGATTTTATATCCGATTGGTCATTGGATAGCAATATGATTTGAATAATTACCGTCATTTTTGATTATAAAGCTTGTTGGTATAAAAGACGGTGTAATTTCTAAGGAGGATTATTATTGTACGAGCAGTGAAAGAATACAGTGATACAGTGACTAGTGTTAAAGTGTGTATTTTAAATAAATTGTTGGCTTCCATCTAGATTCTTTTATTGTCTACCGCCCTGATATATCTTATACTTGTCGGAAAGTCATGCGGGCCGGCGAAAAGTTAGGTTAGTCAACATCCGCAATCTGACTAGTGGTCGATATTCCTTCGAAATAAGATCGCATATAGATCACAAATCAGTTATTTAGTTGAATTACTTAATTATCTAATCGGAGTGCATTAATAATAACTCGATGCAAACGGATTGCGATACGAAACGCGGAGAGTTCGGCGCTTGCATCCGCTCAATATGGCCGCACAACGTAAAGTGCCATCTTCGAACAAGCATAGACCACTCCCAAGCGATGACAGCCGTCAATGTCATAACTTGACGTTTCGCAAAGCACCATAGATCTTGACAGATGACAACTGAAGTTGACAGATGGCGTTTCGCACAATCGAAGCGCCTTCTCGTCGACACGGCCATCCTGCTGCATCACACGTCCTCGTGTGAGTCTAAAAATGAAAACACTACCAGTAGCCTTTGCCATCACTTGGTCATCTCTGACCAGTAAAAATACGGTCACATAAGCATACCGATCACAAACTATGTTTACTGATTACAACTATGTACAATGATCAAATACTGCGTTAGTACAACTTCGAAGGATATCTGAAGTTCAAATTTTAAATCAAGTCTTACTCTCATTAGTACACAACTGAACACATATCGCGATTCTGTACAGTGATAGAACGCACACATCAAGACACATAACGCCTCCATCGAGCATTATATTCCGTTCGTGCCTCTAACAACACAAGCAAAACGCCTCCTTCTAGCGTTATGCTACCAGTGCCTCCATCGAGCACATTAACAACTAATGCTTCCATCGAGCATTGTTCCTATAAACAACTCCATTAATCGCTCAAGTAACACCTCCATCGAGTGTTACCCAACTTAATCACGCGATGTGCCAGGAACTTCGAACACGGGATCATCACGTTGATCCACCAATTCTTCTACAACTAACTGACCTTCAGGCATCCTTCTCAGTCTATCATAAGCATACTTGTACGTCCTCTTAGAATTTAACGCCTTCAACAAATAACGATAACCATCTAATAACTCCATGACCTTAAACGGGCCCTTGTATTTCGGATCTAGTTTGGTCTACTACGCTCCTCATTTTGTAACAAGTCACTTCAGTCAGTCAGTCAAATTTAATCATTATCTGTACTCTGCACATCATCAACTCTATTAATCACAATCGTCGCATCACCTAATTCGAGCGATGTAACTCATGTCACCTTCAAGTGACGATACCCCAGAAACAGTCGTCACATCACCTAATACAAGTGATGTAATGCGAACACACAATTAAATTAAATGGTTGTTTATTGAATAGTGGTTAATGCTTTTCCATAGTTTTCTCCCAGCCAAAATGCATAAGAGACTCATGTGTGCCAAAATGGCGGCAACTTGCTTAACGCTATCTAACTGTCAAAGTCAGTGCTACCATTCTTATAAAATTAAAAGTATCGATGATCATGTCCTCTTTACAATCGAGTAATTAAGTAATCGAGTAAATAAAAATTAAAAAAAGAAAACTAAACCAAATGATCTTCGTAACGGTGATGGAGATGCTCTGCGAAATGGCTATTCTGATAGCCTCACGCATCCTCGCATGGGGGTTTAATTTGAAAGGGAAAATATGCAGCGCAGTATATTCTTTACTCGGTCAGTCCTGACTTCAACTAGAGCAAGATTTTGAAACCAATCGAAACTTTAATAATTAGAGACCGTTTTTACTTTAAGTTTCTTTAGATTGTTAACTGATCAATTTACACTTTCATTAAATTACATTAAAATTCAATTTGAAACTGTGAAGAGTCATGTACCATCGTTATCTCACAATAATTCAAAATAATCTAGCAATAAATCAACTTAAAACACTAACATATTAACTTCCAAAATACCCGAGTAAATATCTCTACCGCCACGGCCTCCATAGCCGACGAGTCATCAC